TCCAACTTGGGTTTTGGTGCCCTCTTTGCAAGGCTTGTTGTTGCAGGGGGAGGGTTTTCTTACCCCCCATCCCTGTATGAGTATGATTTGGGGTCAGCTCCTCCTCGTGTTCGGTTCCGGGTTCCCTTGGGTTCCTCGGTCCCTTTCATTCAGGAGGTTTTCTGCTTCTTGTATCTCCTCTAAGGAGGTTCAGGAGGTGATCCATCCTCTGCGATGGATCCAGCCTTGTTTAAGTTCTGTTCTTCTTCCCCCGTATTGGGTGCGTTTGGAGGTTTGGAGTCTTCCTGGCTGGCAGACTGTCTATTCTTTTCATTGGAGGCGTGGCATGGGTTTTGTTGAACCCACTCGCTTGAAATGACAGAAAACTTATACCGTTCTGCAGGTTTACCTGGAGGGGGCGAGTTTGAGTGTCTTCATGCGTGCTTGTTCGGCCCTGTGCTTCCTCATCATGTTGGGCTTGTGCAGCTGCTCATGCAGGTTCCTATCCTTTCGCGTCTTTGGTTGCTTTGGTCTCTGTTCCTTACATCCTGCCTCGCGTGCTGGCAGGCTGTGCTCGCTCTCTTTGGAAACTGCTGCTTGGGCCCTGGCTCTTAGGTTATTGTCGGCATTTTGTCCTTTGCTGTTTGCTGAGACTGCTGTCACACAGTTTCTACAGGCGGCTTCGTCTAGTTGTCGTCCTATGTCAGACTTGTTGGTTCTCTGGGGTGGCCGTTCTCGGAAGGATTGTGCCAGGGCTCGGGGTTCTGCTGGTCAGGGTGGGCCGTTGGTGCCAGCTTCTGAGCCGGCGCTTCCTTTAGAGTCAGCGTTGTCTGGTCGGTGCCATAATCGCTCTGCTCATGGGACGGCTTCTTATTGGTTGTCTGTCCTTTTGCGGGTTGCCCCATTGACAGGGTGATGGGGGGGGGGGGGTTAGGCTTGCGCCGTTTGCTCTTGCTTGGTCCCACGGTTCGTTGGTGTTTCGGGTCGTCTCCTCCGACCTGTGGTGGTGTTGAGAGGCTTCTTCTTTGGGGAACTCGGGGCTCACAGGGCAGGCCTCTTTCCCTGTGCTCCATCGGATCATCTCAGAGTTGGTGCGCTTGGGCGTGGTCGAAATGACCCCGTCCCTCAGGTGGGTTTCTCGCCAGTTTACAGTGTCAAAACGGGACTGTGCAGATCTGTGGTTCATTCTGGACTTGAACCCTTGGATTCCTTGCTCCCTCCTTTCAGATGACCGCTCTGTCTCGGGTCGAACTTCTGTTGGAGCCGGGTGCTTGGATGGTGTCCCTGGACCTCAGGGACCAGTATTGGCACATTCCCATTCATCCAGGATTCAGGGACTGGTTAGGTTCTGTGGTGGGGTGTCAGGCTTACAGCTTTCGTTGCCTTTCTTTTTGGCTTTAATCTGGCACCTCGCCTATTCACGTGTCTTATCCGAGTCATGGTGACCCGTCTGCGTCTGTTAGGGGTTCGGGTTCTGGCCTACCTTGACGATTAGTTGGTGTGGCCTCCCAGCCGTTCTGCTTGTCTGCTCGCCTGGGGTGTGGTTCTTTTTGGCAGGATTGGTCGAGGTGGGGTTACCTGTACCTCTTCCCCCAGGCCAGCTGTTGCTTTGGGTTCTGGCTCAGTTGGAGTCTTACCATGGGAGAGTCATCCAAGTGATCCCTTGGTGGCCAGGCCAGCCTTGGTTTCAGACGCTGCTTGCTCACTGTCTGAACCAGGGGTGTTGTCCGAGGCCTCACCTCTTTCAGCCAATCGGACCGGTCCAGTACACAGCTGGTTCGGTCTTCTCCGTTCTTCGCGTCTGATCTTTTTGACACGGGTTTATCACCATTTGTATGGTGATCAGGTGGCTTCGTTGATGGTGTCCCACCTGAGAGGTTCGTCTCTTTGACAGAATGAAGTTTCCTTGCGTTTTTTCTGCTATTTTCTCTCTTCGTAGGTTGTCTTCTATTTCTGATAGGGTTGTCTTGTCATTTCTTGGCTTTTTCAGGACCGTCATTTGATGCCAAATACTTTCGTCTCGTGTTGTATTGCTCCAGCAGAACTGCTCCAAACTTGTGTTCGGGGCGGATGTTCATTTCCGCCCCCATTTCATAAGCTTTCTCGTGCTTTGTTTCACCTCCAGCCTGCTCATGCACCACCTTAGCCATCCTGGTCCTTGAACAGAGTGCTCTCCTTTTTCTCTTCTCCTCTGTTTGTGGTGGCCCCTTCATTTCAAGATTGTTTTTCCAAGGCTCTCTTTCTGTTGGCATTGGCCTCTTTGGGTCGGGTTGGTGAGCTTCATGCTCTCCTCTGGTGTAGGGGTTTATGGGTTTATGCTCTTTTGGTCCTGGTAGTCGGTTTGTTCAGTAATAGTCTTCTCCTTTTCTTGCAAATAACGAGACGGCTACTTTCTGGAGGGGTCCTTGGGTCATTGATGCTTGGTTGGTCAGGCTGGGGGTGCATCATGTGTTGTGTCCGGTTGCGACTCTTCGCCATTACCTGTGCGCCTCGGCTTCTGTGACCATGGATGCTCTTTGAGTTGATCCAGTTTCCCTCGTTCCATGTTCCAGGGCTCTGGTCTCCCAAGTCATCCGCACGGTTATTAATTTAACACTTTGACGCACCTCGCGCACGAGACCTGCACTACCCCGGGTGGGCCTCAGCGTTTCACGGGAGCACGCAGTAATGTTCAACTTTGTTACCTCAATTCTGGTCCTAGGGCTTTCATTTTGGTATCAATGTATTCGCAATGAAATTCCCTACAGGAGTATATGCATATAATATCCAAAATCATGGCGTGCCCCTCCCGAAGCCGCCACCAATTTGCTGCCGCTGCAGCTTTGGCTGCTGTCTTCTGCACCATGACTTGGGCTGACATTCAAGCGAGGGGATTTTGGAAGTCGAACAGGGTCCTGGCCGCCCGTTAATTGGTCAACATTCCTGATCCTTGGCGTTCATGTGTGGCTTTGGGTCGCAGGTTACAGCCAGTTTTTTCGCTTTCGAGTTGAGAAGCGTGTGGCTGCTGTCTCCCGGGTAATTCCCTCTTTTCCTAATCTTTAGTTATGTAGCTCCAGGGAGCCAAAAGGGCTCCCCACAGAAAAACCAGCATTGAATGTAATGAAATAACATTTTTCTGGATGAGCCTCGGAGGTTTCCTGGCACCCTCCCTCCCTCCCTCCCTCCCTCCCGGTCGGAGGTTTTCCCACGCTGTTTTGATTGAAAGATGTTGAAAAACTACAAGCAGATATTAATAAAGTTTTTGACTGGGCACCAGAAAATAACATGATGTTCAACAGTGATAAATTCCAGGTACTCAGGTATGGTAAAAATGAGAACCTTAAACATAATACACAAAACACAATCAAATCTGCCCATAGTAGGAAAGCAGCATGACAAGGATTTGGGAATTATCATGTCTGACGACTTAACGTTAAGGGAGCATAACCGAGCAAATATTGCGTCGGCCAGAAAAATGATAGGATTGCTTACGAGAACTTTCAAATCCAGGGATCCCATCACAATGGTTGTACTAGTGGATTCAGTTAGTGGATTCAAATCATTTGTGCTACCCTGTCTTGAGTACTGCTCGGTATCCTTCAGAGAGCAGGAGAGATTGCTGAAATAGAGGGAATAGGGTACAAAGAGCATATACGGCATGCATAGACGCGATAAAGTACCCAAATTATTGAGATCATCTCAGAGCTCTCCAAATGTACTCACTAGAAAGGAAACGAGACAGATATAAAATAATATACATGTGGAATATATTGTATGGCCAGATACCAAATCTACACGGTAAAAAACAACATACTAAGTGAACGATATGGAAGAAAATGCAGAATAGATCCAGTGAAGAGCAGGGTTGTGATAGGCACAATCAGAGAACACTATAAACATCAGAGGTCCACTGTTGTTCAACATCCTCCCAGCGAGCATAAGAAATATTGCAGGAAGAACCGTGGAGGACATCAGGAGAAAACTAGATTGTTTTCTAAAAGAAGTGCTGAACCAACTGGGCTGTGGTGGGTATGTGGGCCTGTAGGCAGTTCCAAGCAACAGCCTGGTGGACCAAGCTCTCACAAGACAGGGCTTGGGGAGTAGAAGAACTCCCAGAACCCCATCAAGTAGGTATCATGTAGGTTGATGCTTAGCCTCCGAACAAGGATTGCTGAGTAACTGGTGCATAGGGTCCGGGGTTCCCCCCTTTCCCCTCCCAGGGGGAAGGGAGGGCTGCACGGATAAGCGGCGCGGCGGCGAGGTATGACATTTGCTTGTTTCCTTTGGATTTGCATGAGTTTGGTTTTCGGTTGCAATTTTCTTACCATGAAGGTTTGTTTTGTTATGCCTACCTTTCTGGGTGCCTATCCCTGGTCGATGGCAGATTAGGAAAACCCCCAACCACAGGCGGGTTTTCCAGGGACCATTGCTCCCTGTGCCCCTGCCCCCTCCCCAGGTTCTGGCTTGTGGTCCCCGGTAGGCTCAACTCAATTGACTAATGCCCTAGTCTAATATATTGCATATTAGCCTGATAGCTCCATGGAGTCTGGGGGCTCACCAAGAATATGGCGTTTCTTTACATTCAATGCTGGTTTTTTAGTAATGTTTTCATATGTAACTCATTTGCGAAGAAAGAACTCGTTTTTAAGAGTGGATTTGCACATGTGGATATGTCCAGCTGACAGATAATGTGTACTTCAAGGGATAAATGGATGCAATTTCATTATTCTCATGTGATTTTTTATAAAACTTACACAATGTACAGCACAAAAGCTAGGGGAAACTGGTTAAATGTATGTTCTGTAAAGATTGTCATCAAACAGCTATTAATTAACTAATTAATACAAGACGAATATTTGTTCAACAACCATGCTGGAAAATAAACTAATTAATTGGAATAAAATTAGTGAGATCTCATATAGGGATGACTTAAAATATCATTACTGTATATCTCTTTCATTTATGAGAGAACATTGGGAAGGTCTTCATTTGTAGTGTAGAGGAGGCAAGAGCAGCCACACATTACTTTTCTTTTCTTCTAGATTCAAGAGCTGCATAGGAATGGTGGATTAGATGCCCTTAAGGATCATCCAGCTGTGAAGAGAGTAACTGCACAACGCATGGTCATTCGACACCTTCATTTTGTTAATGACACAGATGATGATGCCGCTGATGTGTGGGATGAAATTCTTTTTGCAAATATTTCGGAGGTTGATGAAAGAATTATTATGTATAATATTAGTGGCACAGATAGTACTGTCATAGCTGATGAATCTGATGAGGCAGAGGTGGATGACACAGGTGAAATAGAGACAGATGTAGATTATGATAGCTATTTATCAGAGATAAGTTCTAACAAGATTGAGGTTGAGCAAAAGAAGAAAGATAGACAATGTAATGGAGCTGAATGTGGCCAAGAAGATGAAAAGGGCACCTGGCCTGCCTCAAGACCCCTTCGACGTTCATCTTTAACATTAGTGAGTTGTGTTTATAGTTTTATAAACAGTACCGGTTACTTATTATCAGTGGCAAAAAGACTTGCTTTTGTGGCAAAGATTGTTCTATAACTAATTTCTAATGCAATAAAATAAAATAAAATAAAATAAAATAAAATAAAATATAGCAGTGTATTATATTAGTTTTATGTGTGGGGATAAATAATTATTGTACAGGTATTAAAGAATTTCCATTGTTTAGGGGACAGCATTCTGGCAGACGACTGGACGGCACTCTAGCCGCCGCCTCCTACGTACAATTCCAAGGCAGATCACATCCACCTTGCAAGCTGATGTGCTTTGGAGTATGGGTATAACAGGTGAGACAACTTAAACTATATGAGATTTTGCTTGTGATTCAGTTTCTAAAATTATCATATTCAGGATAAATAAGTTAACTTTGTAGATTTATAATGTTTATGAAGCAGTTGTGTGTTATAAGTTACCAGTTTTTGTTTGTAATTATGGAACCGCTATAAATATTAAATATGTAAAACTGTTTTCCAATCAAGATTTCTTACCATTATTTTACCTTGCCTACCTTGAGGTTACCTTGAGGTTACTTTGAGATGTTTTCGGAGCTTGGCGTTTTAGGTCGGTTATTCATGTCCGGTTTAAGCCGCGAAATCATCTCAAGATAACCTCAAGATAGCCTCTGTCTCACTCCATAACTACATACTGTACATCAAGCTATTATGGAAAATGCACATTTTTGTTTTGTTTTGCTTTGCTGAAAATTTAACCTTAAACTGATTTCATAATGATACACACACTTCGTAATTGAAAAACATTCTTATCATTTGCATGTTTATGCTGTATTATATAAGGTTAACAAAAAATGCCACTTGACACAATTTTTGGTTTATAAACCACATGTCGGCTTAGCATGACTAGTAAATAGCTAACTCGTAAGGAAATAGGACAGTTTAACCCTTGCTATTGTGTCAGCCATTTTAGAAGCTGTTTTGCACACCTTTGTTTTGCATTGATACTGTTGCAGTTTCACTAAACAGTTTTGAACTTGATGCACCCTTTGTACATGTGTAAACCATCTCGGCATGACTGATGATGCCAGTGTTGATGTGCTGCTTAACAGTTACACCATATGAAAATAAATATGTATTCCATTTGTTGAATTATATTTCCTAATTGTATTCTTGTATGGATACCTAAAAACATTGAGCAATCTGCATCATTGTATGGACTTTAAGTTGAATTTGATTCTTGTACAATATAGATGATATAAATTAAATTTTAAGATAAATGATTATCATAAAGCTCATGCATAAACAGGTTATAAATTTAAAATGGCTTGTAAAAATTTGATAAATCATTTAAACTCTAATACAGTATTAATAATAAAAATAATAATGATAATAACAGTAATAAAAATTATTATTATTATTATTATTACAATTACAATAATATTTTATTTACAATAAATATTAGAGGATCTAATATTAAACACTAAAATGTGTATACTCTTTTTTTTTAGTTTGATAACCTAAATTTTTGTGTTACATCGTTCATTTTGGTATCAAATTGTTCGTAATAGAATTCTGTAAAGGGATATACTGTCTCCACTCAATTATCCGGACTACATAGAAAGGCCCCCCCCCCCCAGCCACATAATCACATTTTCCTGGATAAGAGTACTTTTTCACCTCTGAGTCCAAAAGGGACCATTTCCAACAATGTTTATTCCACTCTCATGATTTGAATTGACACACCAATTAGTGTGTGGGACTGGGTGGGTGGTTAGCTGCCTAGCTGGTAGGTGGGCAGGGAAAGTGGGTGGGCAAGCAGGGAAAGGTGGGTTCAGGCAGGTGGGTTTTTGATGGGTGGATGGCAAGCAGATGAGCTTGGTGGGTGAACAGGTTCGAGCAGGCAGGTGGGTGGGCTATCGGGCAGGTGGGTGGGTGAGCAGGCAGGTGAGTGTCTGTCCGAGAGGGAGGGGGTCAGATGTGTCGTCACGCTCTGTGAAAAAACTCAAAATAAACCAGGGTTTTCTAGGATTGCAACAATGGATTATGGACCACAGTGAACACAAAGTGCATAGTGACTCATAGGAAAGTTGAATACAGTACAATACAACCTCGATTCAATGTACTCCGATTCAACGAATCTCCGGCTAGTTCGCACACTTTTCAGGCCGGATTTACTCACCCGGTTCGACGAACAGTGGTTTGCCAAAGCAGGGGATGTTTGGATTTGCTTACGATGTACAGACAGAGTTCACAGACTGGTGGAAAACTTTCCCATTCTATCACAGATTACAATTAATAATTCTCTCATATTACAAGTTGGACCACACAAGTGGACCACACAAGTGGACCACAAAGTGGACCACACAAGTGGACCACAAGCTTACGATGTGGGGACAGTTCACAGAGTGGTGGAAAACTTTCTCATTCTATCACAGATTACAATTAATAATTCCTTCATAAGACAAGTTGGATCACACAAGTGGACCACACAACAAGTGAACCAAACACCAGCCAGAGTGGTCCACACAAGTGAATGACTGAGTTTCCATGATTTTCGTTCACTGATTTGTGGCACACGTATCTTTGTACATTAATTTAAAGGCTGAAGCGTGATTACCTAGCTACATGAGGTAAAATCTCCTTATAGACATTTTCTGTGATGAAACAAGATGAGTGAGGGTGGACAGATAAGAGAATACTGTACTGTAAACCTCACTTTACAGTGAGGTTTCACTCACTTTCGTCTGTGTCGTCATAGTTCAGTGACCCATGACTTTGAAAGTTTCATATTACAGAGCACCACTTGGTTTCCGAACCCCTTGGGGACGAGACCCGTCAGTTAACATGTAAATTCGTATACGAGAAATGGAGAAAAAATTATAAAAATTTATGAAAACTCTAGGGAAAAAATCGACAGGTTCATAGCATAAATGCGACCGTATTTTGTTTGTACTCACCAATAATTGAAGTCCTGATCCGCTTATGTTGATGATCGATGTTGATGAAGCATAGTTATTTACAAGGAAGAGGTGGTGGTGGATGTTGAAGTTGTTGGGTTGACTGAAGTTGTTGGGGTTGACTGGGTCAACATGCAATGAGTCAGGTCCAGGTGATGCAATGCGAGCTTTCTTGGAAGTCATTGCAAAAGACTCTTTAACACTTTCGCGCTCTCGGCGAAGGTCACTCAGCCAACCGTATGTGCGCGCGGCGTTTTTATCGCTTAAGTGTAAAAACAAAAATGTGTATACTCTTTTTACTTTTCTGATCTTAGTTTTCATGCTACGTATTTCATCTTGGTACCAACGTGTTCGCAATAAAATTCTCTAAAAGAACATCAGTAAAAAAAGTCACGAAAGCTATAGAGATACCAGCATGAAATAAATAACTACGAAGATGAGTCGCCGTGAGCGCTTGACAGCAACAAAATGTTTTTACTCTTGGGATTATTATCACCTCTACAATTGTCCTACAGCCTTAATTTTGGTATCAATGGACTCCTAATAAAATTCCCAACACGGTGATATGAATATAATCGTAGAATAATGGTCCCGGCCCACCCGCAAGAGTGTGGGAAGTGGGCGCACTGTTACCCGGTAACGGTGACCACTGTTACCCGGTAACGGTGACCGGACGACACACGCGCGAAACGTTGCTTTGAAAGTTTATACTTATTTCACTGTTCTGATATTATTATTGTATGTATGTCATTCATTTTTGTGGCAATGTTTTCGCAATAGAATGTTCTATGAGCTAAATTATACTACACAAACCTGGACCAAATAGGTGTACTTACCAAGGGAAGGCTGGTTGTGGAACAGTAAGTTGAGCATTTGTTCTTCACTCCACCTTCTTCAGGTTCTTCATTCCTGAAGTTGCTCAACAGATGGTTTGTAGGTGGAGTGAAGCTGTTGCGGGTGGTTACTTCTTCACCACCCAATACACCTGTTTCCGGTGGTAATTGGTGTAGCAGGGAACAACACAGAGTGCAACACCACAGGTCTTGCATCCATAGTTCGTGTCCTTCCTTTTACCGGACCGTGCGCATGCATGACACTTGAGACGTTTGGGCAGTCTGTAAATTTCATGTTTCAGTTTGTAGTTCATGCGATTTTCTGAATCAACAATAGGGCGGCCAGGTCCTCTCGCTGGAGGTGTAACAGGAGTTGCAGGAGAGTCAGATTCATCTGACAAAACAGTTTCGTCAACTGGCAGTGTGGCAGACATGTCGGGTTCAGATTCGTTGTCTGCTTCATCTTGAGGTGGTGTAGTGAACAAAGGCCGCCTCACACCAGATGGTCCGGGAGTTGGCATGGCGTCAGCATTGGCAGGAGCTGTGTCATCATTTATGTCTGGAGCGTGCCGCAAGTGTTGAGATGATGATGTTGTTTTAGGCCACTCCTCTGTGTCCCAGTGCAATAGGGCCCAGATTGCCACTTCGTGGAACTGTAGCAATGTTAGCTTTTTTCGATCAGTTGTGTTGTATTTGTACAAAACATACGCATTATGCAATGCCATTTGCAGGAAATAAAAGGTAATCTTTTTGGTCCACTTGTGAGTTTTCCTGGTAAAATGGTAATATTTAACCATTTGATCGAAGTGGTCCACACCTTTCATGAACTTATTGTACTCGCAAATTGCAGTCGGTTTGTTCACTGTTACCTGTTGTATTCCACTTGTTCCGTCTCGGTTGCGAATTCGCTTCCTTCGCTGAACTCGCTGAGTGTCTTCATTGTGGATGTTGGTAATGATTGAAACCACTCGCTTGTCTTTCCACAGGAGAATGAAGGTATTATCTTTGCGGCGGTATACTGTGGTATCCAGTGGAAGTTTACCCTTGGCTAGAGCTTGCAATACCTTTGGGGCGCCACGTAGCATTCTAATTGTGCCACATGTGTACACCCCAAGTTCTCTCAATGTTTCTGTCAGGGTAACCGAGTTGTAGTAATTATCCATGTACAAATGGTAACCCTGGTTCACTAAAGGCTGCATCAACCCCGTTACTGTATCCACTATCGTCTTACCAATACCTGAGTATACGTCAAAGTCATATATGTACCCAGAGACAGATTCAGCAAGCATATAAAGTTTCACACCATACTTGTCTGGTTTGTTTGGATTGTACACTTTGAAGGATAGTCGGCCTCGCCATGCCATTGTACCCTCATCCAAACACAACTCTTTCTTGGGGATGTAAACTTGAGCAAACCTCTCTTTCAAGTAATCCATCACTGGTCTCACTTTTATCAACTTATCACGATTGTTCACGGGCACTGCATTGGTATTGAATGTGTGGAAAAACTGGTTTATATGCAGGAATCGTCTGGACGGCATGA